CCCGCGCGGCCTTGTATCCTCGCTCATGCGAGCGCGCAATAAGGATTCCTGTCAAGGGTGGCGTCCTTATTCACGGCCCCTGCACTTCCTGGCCTGGCGGAGGAGATCGGGATGGATTTCCTTTTCGCTCGTCGGGCCCTAGGCTTCCGACGGACGTCCGTCCGGCCCCCTCAGGGTGGCCGGGAATTCTGGCTTCCTCCGGTGCTCTGCAAGGGGTGCATGGTGAAAGTATTGTTCCCCTTATTTTCGACAGCGGTTACAATGATATGAAACGATACAACCTGCTTATCCGGGCTCCCCCGGATGTGTGTCCCTCTCCCTCAGCTTCTTCGGCCTTCCTTCCAGCCTTGTCCGTCTGCGGTCTTCCTTCCAAGGGTGGCGGGTGAGACGACACGATGATACAATGCAATTTCACAGCTGCCGAGCGTGATCCGTGGCGCGTCTACGCTTCCTGATACGCTTGGTCATTACGCAAAAGAAATGCTAATATAAAAGAATAAAATCTGCCAAGTAAAATAAATGACGCGAATTTTAACGCACGTTCGCAGGTGCGTTTGCACGCGCGCTCGCCTACGCGCTCGCCCTTCGAGCCGGTAGGAAGCGCGAGTCCGCCGTCGACGAGTCCGCACAGTGACGGACAAAATGTCACGTCACAATATATATATACATTTTCGTAACTTTTTCATGTTTAATGTTGTTATTCTTATTGCAGAAACTTTACGAAAATATCTACCTGTACTGTTTCTCATTAGAAAATCGATATCGAGTTATACTTTCAATGGTATTAAAGCTAGCATATCAAAAGGCCAAAAAGTATGGATTCCTATTTTCGCGCTTCAACATGATACGCGTATTTATCCAGAGCCAGATGTCTTCAATCCAGAAAGATTTAACGAGGAGGCTGTACAAAATAAACATCCAATGTCCTTCCTGTCTTTCGGTGATGGGCCAGAAAGAAATTGCATTGGTGTACAGTGAAATAATTAAATTTAAATATCACCTTCCTTTTCTTTCTTTGCATGCTACTTTCAATCAGAAAAGTTTTATTTGGCAATCTTAATCTTATTTATCTTACATAGCAGATCTCCGAAGGATATCCAAAAGACATCCAGAAGACATCTTATATCCTAAGAATATTCCCATTTCTTGGATAGAAGATGTAAGTTGTAATATTTTTTTTTTATTTTCAGGTGCTTGCTTCACCGTTTATTAGGTTAAACTTGGACTAATAAAGATCCTACGAAACTATTATTATAAAGTTGAACCTTGTGAAAAAAACGGAAATACCTTACATCCGCAATGAGGAAACATTTATATTAACACCAAAAAATGGAATACACTTGAGAATAATTAAAATAAATCGAACTTAAGTTTTTCTTTAATTTTCTTAAAGAATATATGGGGCATTCTTTCTCAAATCAGCCACCCGCCTGCGCATTTTATTTTTAAAGATAAAATTTTTTTCGAAGCGTCAAAATTTCCGCCTAAACCTCAATTTTTTGATGCCGTATGGTGTTTTTTATTTCCTTCTTATGGGTGTGACCATACGTTAAAAATAATGC